GCCGAACGGTAATATTCTAACCCGACACACTACCTCGCTACACTGCGTGAGAATTCCGTGTGTCTTATTGAAGTCATTTGCTCTAAACGATATATTAACAAAGTTGGTCATGTGAAAGTATCTTCGGCTCCCGCCGCCGTAGCAATATAATAAGAAGCATTTTATGTTGTATACTCGGTCTCGCCAACATGCGCTTAGAAGAGCTCGAGCATGAGACCCTCGTTTAAAGGGTGGCCAGTCTGGGGAATACCAGGTACTCACCGAAGTTGAATCTCAGCTCGAGTGTATCTACCTACTTAAGTATATAATAGCTGGGGATCATCGCCAATGACTAAGCGAAATGCATTCTCTTCTTATTTTCCTTCCAGCATGGTTCCAAATGTATAAATCTCTGATGCCGTCTCTTTAGAGTGATCTTGTACATATGGTCGAGGCGCTTGTATCATATAGGTAATCTGCACGTGGTTACCGAAAGGGTCATCTAATCTAGGCGGGGCACGTGTTCGACAGGCATATTCAATTTACCATTAGAAGTGTCTAGGCCCCCAGTTTGTTTCTCTTATGTAATGGTTTAGCCGCATATCTATATATATCAGCGCACCTATGCTATGAGTATTTTCCTGTCCATTTTAATTAAATCATACATTATACCTATAAGAAATCACTTTTCATATAATATTTAGGCTCATCGTATTTTTAGGATAATGAATTTAAGAACTTGCGATTTTCGTTGTGGGGCGGCCGTATTTTACAATGGAACCAAACAGCATGGAAACAACTTCGTTGTGCTGCGAGGAACTCTAAACTAACTACAGAAGCCTGTGGCTATACGTACTAGACATATTCTTTATTCTCATCTAGAATCCTGACGGTCAGTTTTTTCCCCATTTATAGCGCGATCCAGAGTTTGCGGATCATAAAACTTGGGGGAATGTCTAAGTCATAACTAAGTCATTTTAAAAGAGTTAAAGGTGATTGGCTATACGAAGTATAGCAGCCCCGTTCTACATACGGATCCGTACAATCAGCCTTACTGGGCTGTTATCGATAAACTGCTGGAAATCTTAGCGGCGCGGGGAGGAGCGGGGAGCTTTCGGAAACGTGGTAGGTTCGTGTGGCTTGGCTGCGCCTGCCCGAGCTCGCCCGAGTTACTCATTGACCGACTGACTTTTATGACTCGATCTCGACGAAACTTAAAAGAGGTAGTTTAATTACCTAGGTACCTACCTTAAACCTAATTCTTTTTAAGTTTTCGCCTTACTTAATCTTTCACTCATATTTCTTTCGCCCATATTTATTACTGATATAATATAGCGAACCTGACCTACATTAATTCAAATACTCTCTCATTTACCTATCAATAGTCATTTGAATATACTAGCGAATATGACGAGCAAAGGCGCGAAACAGCTGCCGCATGAACGGCGAAAAGGAGAAGCGGTACGTCAAAAGCTTGTATAGGTGTTCTTGATATAATTGACTAACTTACCTGTTATAAGGCCCTAAGCGAGTTTGCCGAATTCGTTGAAAAGCAACAAGCGTTGCGATACCCGAGTGCCAAAGCCACCGACCGCGTTGAGCACCACGAAGAGCTCGACATTCTCGACTCATTAAATTTAGGCGATTCCGAACCTCATGTACCACTGCGCCATCTCTTACTCGCCCCTTCCGACGATGCAGCAGCCCAACAAAAACTTTCCGAGTACATCGACGAACGACTTTTAGAGGGCCACGGAGAGGCGGTTTTCGACTTAGGATTCGAGAATAACGGTGAATCGATGCGCCTCACCGGCGATGAGTGGAACATCGCATTGGATCGTTTAAAAGAAACCGCCAAGAAGGCACACGCCGACTGTGACATATTACTCACTAAGAATGTTGGGGGCGACGTCGAAGCTGAGTCAACGATTGCAGGGAACCAGAGTAAAGACAAAGACTGTACCGGCAAAATCCTAATACGGAAGACCCCTATCACAACTGAGCAGGTCATTGAAACAAGAATAGCAGTTGTTGGTAATGGTGAGTTAGGTCTGTGTGTAGAATGATATAAACATCTGTGCTGACACTTATATACAGTTGATGCTGGGAAAAGCTCCATGCTTGGGGTCTTAGTCAAGGGAGACCTTGACGATGGGCGAGGGAAGGCTCGCGTCAATCTCTTCCGCCACAAGCATGAGATCGAGACGGGTCGCACCAGTTCCGTCGGGATGGAAATAATGGGTTTCGACACCATGGGGAATGTTGTCACATCAGACACCCCGGGGAGTAAGTTATTCAAAATCCTAACCGTCATTTTCTTGCCGCTTACTGTGATATAGGGAAACTGTCGTGGGAAGAAATTGGCAAACGCAGCGCTAAAGTGATCACCTTCACTGACTTAGCCGGCCACGAACGCTATCTACGAACTACAGTCTTTGGCCTATTATCTAGCAGCCCTAATTATTGTTTACTAATGGTTGCCGCCAATAATGGGCTAATTGGAATGAGTAAAGAACATCTTGGTATCGCTTTGGCCCTAAATGTCCCAATCATGGTGGTGGTTACCAAAATTGACATTTGCCCTCCAAATATTCTGGAACAAACCATCCAGCAGATTACCAAAATCCTAAAATCTCCAGCGGCACGAAAAATGCCTATATTTATTAACAATCGCGAAGAGTGTATCAACACCGCTACTCAGTTTGTGAGCCAACGAATATGTCCTATATTCCAGGTCTCCAACGTTACCGGCGAGAATCTTAACCTCGTTCGCACATTCTTGAATATCCTCCCACATCATGGACGTTATGATTCGGACGCTCCTTTTGAATTCCATGTCAATGACACCTTTTCTGTCCCTTTCGTTGGTACGGTAGTTAGCGGTATCGTCAAGTCAGGGGTAGTACATGCTGGCGATAGCGTTTTAATCGGACCGGACTCGCTGGGTCAGTTTACTCAAACTAGCATTCGGTCCATCGAGCGAAAAAGAATCAGTGTACCTGCAGCATCTGCAGGCCAATCCGCTAGTTTTGCCTTGAAGAAAATACGGCGTAAAGATGTGAGGAAAGGAATGGTAGTCTTACCAAGAATCGAGGGGCAACCGGCTCCTAAAGTCTACCGTGAGTTTGTCGCCGAGGTCTTGATTCTCTCGCACGCGACCACTATCAAGACCAAATATCAGGCAATGCTTCATGTCGGGCCAGTCTCCCAGACATGCGCAATAATCGATGTAGACCGCCCCTTCATACGAACCGGTGACCGGGCGACTGTAGCCTTCCGATTTGTTCAGCGGCCAGAATACTTGGCCCCAGGCGACAGACTTCTGTTTCGTGAAGGACGAACTAAGGGCCTGGGCATTGTCAAATCGGTTGGGTATGATCCAAAGAAACCCCTGATGGCTGATCAGTCGGATGGCGGTGCCGCACAAGAGCCTGATGAGAACCACGGCTCTGCTGGAAGAGGTATCCCGTCCTCTACAAGTGTGAGGGTTGGCGCCTAGAACCATGAGACCTGTTGAGTCTCGCTGTGGAATTATGCGCAGCCTTGGGTCGCATTATGGCGTAAGGGTTGGGATTATTACCCGGGATACTTTCGGGCTGAAGATAATTATGTCTCATCCCGTTATCATTTCGAATCATTCTACATCATGTTTCAAGAAAGAATGCATCATAGGTGCTAGCGGAGCTGGGCGTTTCGTTATCGGGGGGTTCGGGGCGGTGTAATACATCATCCTACATACCCTCAGGCATTTGTTTCATTATACTTAATTTAGTCCTCGTATGGAATATATCCGATCGTTTGCATAGGGATCTACTACCCTTCTGTACTCTTTGAGTCTTTTCTCCGGTACCGCTTGAGAACATAAGCTAAACTGTGTATGTCGCCTTATTGATAATGGACCACAAGTATCCTAAGGGTTTTGAGTATCTATTAACTCTTGAATTAAAGCTTCTATGTTGCAATGTATAGATCTTAGTTGCCATTTATTTATACCTGGCTTTATCGGTGGGGTCTCAAGTTAAGATGTTAGGACTTGCAAATAATCCCTGCTAACTGCTAACTGGGTGGATTGTAATAGGCTTTGAACTACAAAACATGGACCTTATTAGGATATAAGACTCTACATAGATAATTAATAATTAACAATACATCACTTTAGATAAGAAATATAAATTTGGCTCGGAGAGTTTTTATATATATACGGCTGAACGATGGTCCGGTACTGCTACGTTATGGATTTCATGGAGAGACTTTCGGCTTTTTCTAAGCGAGCAAAACTTCGGGTTTCTGGAAGAGCCCGTCGAGTCCGTCAACTTGATGACGCCGTGCCTCCCGCGCATTCGGAAGGACTGCCGTCTTCGACGCTTTACCCCATTGGGGAGAAGACGTTGCGATCGATAATCGACGCGACGAATCATATTGCGTACATGATGCGGCAAAGTAGTAATTATTTTCGACCAATGGCTATGGGTCTGTTCTAGATTTACAACCTTGTCTTGGACTGCCGACGCGCACCTTGTGCACCGGGACTGTGCGTGCCGGGATTTTTTGTGTGGGGGAACTTATACAAAACAACATAAATCCCCTAACCGTAGTGCCAGCGGGTGATCTACTACAAGGATTGTGATGTGGTCTAACCTCTATTATACGTAGATCAGTTCGGAAACTCTGCTCAGCTATTGGCTGGGGAATTCTTCATCTAGTTCGTAATTATCAAATCGTAAGGTATGCGTAAAATATTACGGGACGGGACGGTACGGGGCCGTCGGAGAATAGCCAAGCGGCATATTGTATGCTGTGAATAGGTCAAGGCGTAAGTTAATGCCTTTCGGGGTTATCGATGATGCCGTATTGTATTGCACTGCTATCGAATATTCTTTCGTGATGACTTGCCGGGATGGGGGGCCCAAATTTCCTGTATATAAATCAGAGTATTTCCTATGACTGGTGGCATGAAGAAGTCTGCTTAAGAGAAGTCAAAGAAGTGACTGGACTAGAAGCTCCAGCAATCAAAGTTCACCATGGCGCCTGTTTTCGAGTTAGGCGATCCCGTTAATCTTCCTTTGATAGGAGCAGCATGTGTAAGTCACAGATCGTCCAGCTATTAATCGAAGGCCAAAGAGTTACTAGTCTGCCTAATACTTACACTATAACTAGTTAACTCTCTACGTCGTAGGGACTATATTCTATAGACTCTTCTTGGATCCTCTACGCTCGATCCCCGGGCCGTTGCTCTGGCGCCTCACTAATCTGCCGCGCGTTTATCACACATTAAAAGGCGATATACACGTTAAAGTTGGAGAGTTGCACAAGCAATATGGACCGGTCCTCCGACTTACACCTTACGAAGTCGTATTCTGCGACCCCCAAGCGTGGAAAGATATATATGGTCACCGCGTTGGCAATGTCCCAGAGATTCCTAAATGGGATGGTAAGCCACCTCTAGACCCGTGCTCCCATCTTGTAACTCTCGAGCGGGTCTTTCCAACTTACCTGGTATTCTACGGATACTAAACGAGACGCTACGGTCTTATTCTTTCTCACTACTGCCCTATTTGAAACATATTCTGAAAGAGGATTCTTCTGAAATGTATGGATGCTAACTCGAAGTTTATAGAATTTTATATGCCAAATACCGATCTCCCTCGCAGCGTAATCACTGCCCCACGTAAAGACCATGCAATCCTTCGCCGTCAACTTTCACACGGGTTTTCCGATAAGTCGATGCGAGAGCAAGAATCCTTGATCAAGGTATATGTGGAACTATTGATACAACGGCTACACGAGAACGCCCAGAACGGCGCGGCTAGCCTCAATATGCGGGACTGGTACAACTGGACAACGTTCGACGTCATCGGCGACCTGGGTTTCGGAAGGTCATTCGGCTGCTTAGAGGGCTCAGGTGTACGTGATATTACTAAATACTGTTTCTTTGACTCCATTTAACTGCTTGTAATGAGCTTATGGAGGAAATCGCTAACTCATAACAGTACCACCCTTGGGTGAAACTCATTACGGAGACTTTCAGGGAATCATCAGTATTCCAGAGCTTAGGGCATTTGGGCTTACGGTGGGTAGTCAAGTATATTTACCGATCTGGGATAATGGATAAGAACAAGGAGAACCTCAACCTCGTCTCGGAAACACTACATGAGAGAATTAAGCTTGGTAAAGAGAGACCTGACTTGATCGATGGATTGGTCAAGAAGAAGGACGAATTAGGCCTGGACTTCGAATCTCTCGTTAGTAACGCCAATCTACTGATCATCGCGGGCTCGGAAACTACAGCTACCCTTTTGACCGGAGCTACCTATCTCTTGACTACGAACCCGGATAAGCTCGCGAAGGTCTCTGAAGAGGTCCGTTCTACTTTTAAGAACGACCAGGAAATTACTCTTACATCCGTCAGTCGACTACCTTAGTAAGTACCATTCCACATATCCGTCCATAAACCGCACCACCATTCACTAACGAAAATCCTACCTAGCATGCTTGCATGCCTCAACGAGTCTTTGAGGCAGTATCCTCCGGTTACTAGCGACATACCGAGAGTTCTACCTAAAGGAGGCGCTACAATCTCAGGAACATCTTTACCCGAAGGCGTGAGTGATTTACCTATCTACTACCCCCTCCTCGCGTATAGATATAACAATGCTTACTCCATTCATACCTAACAACAGACCGTCGTCTCTGTGTTCCAATGGGCTGTCAACTACAACCCGCAGTTTTGGAAGAATCCTCTCAAATTCGCCCCCGAGAGGTGGCTGGACGATCCGGAATACAAGGACGACCAGCAAGACGCCATGCAGCCGTTTAGCACCGGGCCGCGAAACTGTATCGGTAGAAAGTAAGTACCGGCCAGATTCCACTTGGATTCTTGTTCTCCTAGCATCAAGGCTTGGTACCTAGTGGAAGATATGAATTGCTAATACGTGGTGCTACCTACCTATAGTCTTGCCTACGCCGAGATGCGTCTTATCCTGGCCAAGATTCTTTACAACTTCGACATGTCGATCGATGACAGCAGCCGAAACTGGGCATTAAACCAGAGATCGTTTAGCGTGTGGGAAAAGCCGCCATTGTACATCCACTTGACGCCTGTTGCCGTGAAATCTGGGTAAACAGATTATAACTCGACACTACGGATAAATTAGGCACCTAGGGAGACTAGGTTGTGGGAGTTTAGGTGGACATGACGAAGATTTGGGGCTCTCTAGCTAATTAGTAGTTGGAAAAGTACCTAGGATCGGATGGCTAAATTGCACACTTCAATATTGGGATATTGGGTGCTCTGATAGAGTATCAAGTATCGTTGCCGGCACGAGCTAGTTCTCGTGCTTCTGTATATTTATTTTGTTAGGAGGGTTAGATGGATTAGGTGCATATAATAAACTTAGGAATTCCACTAAATAACTTGGACCTGAATGTTCTATAATACAACGTACCTTAGGTATTTATAAGATGATGAGAGTTGGGCACATGGGTTTTGAATGATATACTCCCTCCGACGAACGCCGTTGTTTCTGGGTTTGTTCGATTTGTAAAATGATATAGCCTATTGAATTCTCACCGGGACTAGATCTTAACTATTGCTGACGTGCTTCTCACGTATGATAGGTACTTTTTTGTAAGTGAGCAGTGCATATAAGATCTTCATTCGCTATCATCGTATAACGTGACTAATCACAATATCAATCTTGTAACTAGCAAGTAAGACACGCCGGCTTTTTGGATACATACCTAATTTTAAACTACGATAGCCCTGCATGCTTCTATAGCCTGGCATTCAGCTCCGTGATAGCTTTATATTCTACTAGCGAAATTTGATCAAAGCAGGGAACTTCATAGTGTTCCGTAGAGCAATAAACGAAGCTACTTGTCATGGCACTGTAAGCTTAGTCATAGTTTTGAATAGAAGAGCTGTCTAGTTTCGGAAATAAGACCCCTAATAAGCGGTTGACAGTTTATCTGAGGACCATTGTCACCTTCGAACTAAGTTCCCCCCTGGCTAATATTTAAGAGGCGAACGACGGTATTAGATCAAGTAAGCAGTTCCCCTGACGTCAACTAGTGAATTACCGGTTTCGAGGATCGCTTAAAATCTGGTTGGCTAGCTCGTACATATGCTGAAGTGGGCATGTATGTAAGCTTAGCACACCGAGCTCACATCCCCCTAGGTAGATTGTACCAGGTATATAAGATATCAAGAAACCATGCCCGTAGAGTGAAAACCGCGGAGGTCCAGAACCTCAATCTTCTAGTGGTAATAAATCCTTTCACTTTCCTTCCTAACCAAGATGGTTCACATTAACCCACTGAATGTGCTCTTCGCCCTCGGCTTAGCAGCCGTCCAAGCTACGCAGTTCTGGCACAACACCGGAACGAAGGCCGGATGGGATACCTTTACGCACGAACACAAAGGCACCGTCGATGAAGTGACGGACCAGGTCTACAAGGGCTCTACGGCTCTTAGGATGACCCAGATCCATGATGCGGGCTACAATGGCCGGTATCACTCTGAAGCTGTCAAGTATAATGTCTACCGCAAAGGAGATACTGGGTTCTACGGATTTGCCTTCCGTCTCCAGGACGGCTGGCAGTTCAACCCGGCCCAGGGTTACAATATCGCTCAATTTATCGCCGATTTCTCGGATCTCAAATGTGGCGAGGACTACATGCCTAGTACTAGTATGTGTTACTCTTAACCTCTCATTCTTTGGAGTAACCGTCTGGGAAGTTGGAACTTTCTGATTTAGATCATTTGAAAACTCTATTATTAAGACTCTATAACTAATCACTCTGCACTTTCTTTTCGCAAATAAAATTGCTAATAGCCGCCATTATTCCAGTGGTCTGGATCGACGGCGACCAGCTAAGCACCAGGGTCAAATACGGCAACGTATGCCCGACTAACCAGCAAAAGATCCAGGAATTCAAAAAACTTGCCACGGTAACCGCCGGGGCATGGCACCGCGTCGAGATCCAAGCTAGCTGGCAGAGCGACAGCACCGGGTTCTTCAAGCTGTGGTACGACGGCGAGAAAGTGGTCGAAGCCTACGACCTCGCGACAACCGTAGGCGACGGACGATACTTCCAGTTCCGAGTCGGGCTGTACGCCAATGCTTGGCACGACCACGGCTACGAGGGGACGCAGGGGACTAGGCAGGTCTGGTACGACCAGATTGCTGCGGGCTCTGCGTTTAAGGACGCGGACCCGAGTGGTTGGGTTGCGAGCGCTAGCGGCATGCGGTTTCAGCCATCGTTTGAAGATCTGTAGACTTAGACGGGCGGGTGTGTAGTATGCACGACGAAAATAGGTACCTATGTTGTGTTACCTAGGGGATGAACATATTTAGAGTAATGTACTGTGTAACCCCTGATTTTGGATACGAGTCTGGTTTACATCTTCTATTGAGGATATTTAGGTATATGAACGTTGATTATATGAAGCTTTACTAGAATTACATGCACTAATAACAGTCCTTAGTATGCGTGAAAGATGGCAGGAGTAAGCATCAATACTGTCGCCGCACTAAAATATGTTGTGAAGATATATCAAATTTCAATTGGTAGGTGCTTTGGCACACTCATTCATCTCATCTAGCCGTATCGTGTCATCCAACCCGCCTGTATGAACTTTATTTATATACAATAGAAGACAAAACAAGTATTATCGTACCCCCTTTAAACTCCATTTATCCCGTCTATTTGCTTGTGTCGACGACGTACCGACCGGCGATCTTGCCAGCCTTCAGTAAGTCGAATACCTCCTGCAGCTGGCTGAGACCGACTACCTTGTAAGGCGAGGAAACGAGTCCTCTCCTGAAGAAGTCGATGGCTTCGGAAGTGTCTTGTCGGTTACCGACGTAGCTGCCCTTGATGGTGATCATGCGGACCACGGTGTCGAACACTGGTGCCTTTAAGAATGCACCTGCGGGCATACCGACGGCAACGATGGATCCGCGGCTACGTACGTATTCGCTTGCTTGCTGGAAGGGTCCTTCGCTGACAGCGAGGAGCAGGACAGCATGAGGGCCGAAGCCGTCTGGTGTTGCTGCCTTGACGTCTTGGACTACGTTCTTGCTCTTGGTGAAGTCGATGTAGTCTGTAGCACCGAGACCCTTGCAGAGCTTGCCTTTCTCTTCACCGCCGTCAATGGCGATTGTGTGCAAGCCCATTGCCTTAGCGTACTGGATAGCTAAGCTGCCAAGCCCACCTCCAGCACCGACAATAGCGACTTGCTGGCCGGGTCTTGCGCCGGACTCCTTCAGTGCCTTGTACACTGTTAGACCAGCGCATAGGATGGGCGCGACTCCTTCAAGGCTGACATCCTTGGGGATCCTGGCGACGTGGATTGCCTTGCCGATGGCGTATTGTTGGAAGCTACCATCTACTGTGTAGCCTGATAATAAGGCGTTGGGGCAAAGTGATTCGTCGGACTGTTGGCAGAACGAGCAGGTTAGGCATGATCCGTTCAGCCATTTGATACCGGCGTGGTCTCCAATCTCGATGTCCTTGACAAGCTCGCCACGTGCGACAACAACACCTGCGCCTTCGTGTCCACCGATGAAGGGCATCTTGGTGGGAAGTGGCCAATCGCCATTTAAGGCGTGCAGGTCTGTGTGGCAGACACCAGAGTACTTGATGTTGATGAGTACCTCATCAGGTCCTGGCTTAGGAACTGGAACCTTCTTATATTGGACGGCTATTTCGATGTTAGTGACTCGACTAAATAGGCCCATCTATAAATAGTAAATAGAGAGGTGTTGGGTAGTAGTAGTAGTATAGGGTTACTTACGTCCGCCGCTCTTTTCGACGACCTGCGCCCATTGCTCGCTCGGAATTTCAAAGGAACTCATGTTTCTTCTTAGAGGAATTGTCAATATAGGTGATCGAGGTCGAGATAAGATGAGTGTTGGTCTAGGTTTCGGAAATCTGCTTAACTTATAACTAAGTTGTCTGATGATGGTGAAGTTGAGAATGTCGGAGGCGATAATCATGATGTATAAATAACATCCCCTTCTTTCTTGTTACACTCAATGACCCGTTGAAAAGACCCGCTGGGAGTAACCTTGATTAAGTCGCATTGGCCAATAGCCAATAGAGCTAGCACCCGCCCAGAAGCGTCTCGTTGACATCTCCTTTCGGTGGCATGCTCAACGTCACCTTACCCCTCTCACCACTCTCACCACTCACCACTGCGAAATAACAACGGGGCTCCCAGGGCTCCGTACTAGTAATTTCCTAGTAATGTTCACAGGAGTATCCATGTTGCCGGACGATCTAGAGTCTGAGCTAGACCGTAGCTAACTGTATGTAAGAAAGGAGTAGCCTGGGCAAAAGACTTGGTTGGTACGGCTGGTACGGCACAAAGGGACGATCGCCGCAGAAGACCAGTTTAGAGATGATAGAATGTCAGGCGGTTCTTTAGCTTATGTGCAGACTGTGGTACCGGGCGGAGCAGACGCACCAGACCGCACCACTAAACGCGCGAGAGACTGTTGAGGTTCTTGGTAGCGCTGCAGACGCTGCAGATAGGAGAATAGCGTCGAGCCTTCGGCCGCGCGGAACTCCGCCAGCCCCCCAGGCCCCCCGTGTCTCCCTTCCGTTCGAACTTGGAGTGCATACTTTGATGCTACTTAGCGTCTTAACTTGCAGGCTGTAAACGCGGGGAAGTTGGGGAAAACGCCGCGTGGACAATCCTTTATTCCCATTCTCATTGGATTATTTCCTTTCTTTGCTTGGGGGAATGCAGATCTCACGTAGTTCATTCAATTGAGGCAGCGTTTCTCAGCGTTTCTCACTTACACTAGTTGAAGGAGCCTCTGCAGAGTTGAGGCAGATTCTAAGCTCTAGACTCGGTGTAATTTTTCTTGGGTGATCATATGATTTTGTCCAAATGGGGTGACGGAATTGACAAGGATTTCTTTAGTGTACAGTAGTACTTACAGTAGTACAGTAGCACAGTAGCAAAGTGGTACTGTAGTGACAGCATTGTGCTGTCATTGTCAGCCCACATCCTTTTATGCGGGGACGGATTGGACGGATTCTCCCTCCTATTTTCAATTCCGATAACTCTGAGCTCACCTCTTGGTATCCGGTGGAATGGAAGTGGAAGCTG